ACTGATTCTTGAAATAAACATAAAGCAGTTTAGTCACAAACGATTATCATACTAAGTTAATAGGCAGTTTCCATTCAATTTAGTCATACATACAGTTCTATTTGATGATTTGAAAGTTTATTTTACAATGAAATGAGTATCATTACGGATTGATAGACATCATTCATATCGGTATCCTTATTGTTTATCACTCATTATTTAAAGGTTTATACAAACATACACCCTTATTATTCATTATTCATGTTTGTAATTTCTTTTTACAAATATTGAACAGATAAAGACCAGCACGATGAATATCTGAAACTCGAAACAGCTATCAATTAACGCCAAGGTTAGAATTTTCAATACAAATATCAAAATAGTTCTACTATATGAGGCGGAATCTTGGAGAATTACGAAAGCCATCATACAGAAGATACAAGTGATTATTAACAGCTGTCTTCTCAAAATACTTCAGATCCGTTGGCCAGACACTAACAGCAACAACCTATTGTGAGAGAGAACAAACCAGATTCCCATGGAGGAAGAAATCAAGGAGACTTGCTGGGAGTGGATAGAACACAGTTTGAGGAAAGCACAGAACTGCATCACAGGACAAGCCCTCACGTGGAATCCTCAAGGTCAAAGGAGGAGGAGAAGAGGAAGACCAAAGAACATATTACGTCGAGAAATGTAGACAGATATGAGAAGACTGAACAACAATTGGATAGAACTGTAAAGGAAGGCTCAGGACAGATTAAGTTGGAGAACGCTGGTCGGCGGCCTATGCTCCATTGAGAGTAACACACGTAAGTAAGTAAGGTAATAAATACTCTTGAGAATCAAAGTTTACTTTTATAAGCTCATAAGTGATCTATACAATTCATGGTTGATAATTAATTGTTTGTAAAGGTATCACTTTTATATTACCGATTGAAGCTCTTCAACGAGATATCATACCAAGATGTCGAGTTTTGTAAGAATTTTTTACTCGACTGCACTAATATAAGTCTGTAGAATTATATAATCGTACGATAGTTATGGTAGTTATATTTGTGTAAACATCTCTAACGCCAGTTTGAAATATCACTTATTGTAGAATAGGATGAAACAGTCATTGAAATTTGTCACATTTGATTATAGAGGTTGGATCCCACTCCAGCTTATACATGTACATCTTCGAAGAGCTACAAAGTCGAAACACTTGTATAGTTCCCTCTATAATTTTTGATGTTCATCCAATTGATATATACCTAAGAGACATAAGATTATTTAGTTTTCTTGTAGTTGAATTTTTGTAGTTTTTTAGTAGGAGTAACAATGATGACTTTGTTCTAGTTCATATTTCTATGCTGATCTTTCCTATTATCTTATTTTATGAATTTTATCATTTGTCTCAAGGTCGTGTTTGGCTATTGTATATACAGAGTTGTTCCTTTTCGAATATGTCATCTCGAAAACAACGTTTTTGTAATCAGATATCTCCCACTGTTTTGGGGATTACTGAGTAAATGATTTGTATCGCTCGCCGTTTCATTCAGTTCTCATTAGATCACACATGTATTAAACGAATTTACCTTAAGCTGAAAGTAACAATACCGTTTCATCATATCGATTGTAACAAAAACTTATATGCCTACTGTGCTTACTGTCTCAATATAGCCTTAAGTCACAAGCTTGATAAGCAAAGATTAATAGTAACTAGCAGTGGAATTCAGTTTCAGTCCCTATTTGGGACTTGTTAACTGGATGTACCTGCATCCCAGAATTGATGTTTACTTCAGGACTCAAACCCATTACTGTTCACTTCAAACGCCATCGCCGTTATCCACTTAACTACTAAGTCCTGATAGTCATTGTAATTGTACAGCTTTAATAATGAATTCACTGAAAACAGAATACTTCGTTCAACTAATCATTCCTATAAAACTATCATCAGTTATTAAGGACATTAATTCATTAAAGCTCTTTTCAGATTTAATCATTAATGACTTTTCTAAATCATAACAATTTAAGATTTCGATAGATTCATTATATCTAACACAATATACAATACTTACCATTCAACTTCATCACATCTCATTGTTTTATAATTCTAGTGAACAAGAAATTCTAGGGACTATATTTTGAAATAAAAAAACTTACATTCACTTAACAAGATCAGATCTCAAATTATTTTGGTCATATATATTATCAGAAGGGGTTTGTGGAGATTTTAGAAATTTCACAGATAGAAATCATGAGTCAATTGAAGCTAGACCACCACGGAAAACCTGGAAGCACTGGACGGCAGTTTTGTCCTAGTATGGGACTCCTGTTGTGAGATATCAGCTCACTGAAGACAGTGGTGTGCGGTGGAGCAACTTCGTGGATCGATTGGAGTTAGACATTAACACCGTTCGATGCCGACTCAGTGGTCTAGTTGGTTAAGTGCCTGGCGCGAGACTGATAGGTCCTGTGTTTGAATCTCGTGGGGTGCGGGATCGTGGACGTTCATTGCTGAGGAGTCCCACAGGGGGACGAAACGGCCATACAGTGCTTCCAGGTTTTCCATAGTGGTCTAGCTTCAATTAACTCATGATTTCAATCTGTCATATATATTGTCTGTCAAGAAATGCAACAGCATTATGCAACATGATTTTATGTTAATTCAGTAGGAAATCAGTTAGTTATATTGTAATATAAAATGAAAACAAAGAAAGTAATGATAAAATCAACTTGAGATGATTTCATTACAAATGGTAAATGATTTTGAATTGTCATAATTGTCACCATAGAATGAGGGATGTAGATATTTGTTGTTTTTTTAAATATTTTTAAAAGCAACTTATTCTAATAATATAGATGTGGAATGATAAATAATTAGTTGACATCCAGTGGTGTCAATGTCTAACTTCAACCAATCTACAAAGTTACGCCACAGTATACCGTAGACTGATAGGTCCTGGGTTCGAATCTCGCGTGGTGCGGGATCGCGGATGCGCACTACTGAGGAGTCAAATAATTAGTTAGTTTGATTAGTTCATTCTACAGTGTATACTACTGATATCAACAGATATAAGTAGTATGTATGATCAATCGAATATGAAATACCTGACAGAAGAAGGTTAAATTGATTAAAGAATAGAGAACAAGAACAGTGAATGATTGCTGTGGAAATGAAATAAATGTGAAATCTAAGATGACTGATTGATTGATACCTTTGCAAATAGAGTATTTGATGTATGGTTCACAGATTTTATTAAGATGTTCTGTAATTTTGTATTCAAACACATTCGATTTACCCTACTTGGGTTTTCGCTTACTATAATTCTACAAAATAATCTGAATTTACTTGAACTATACACCAGTTGACGACCAGGGAACCATTAATAGCCGTTTCATTCTACTTTAGGACTCGTTAGCAATGGATACTAACAACTATCAAGATTGTTCATATTCAAGACATTCAGATGTTGGGATTGGAGAATTATGTCCAGTCTGGTGACTCATCATTTCATGATGCAAACATTCTTTAGATTAAAAAATTACTATGAAACGTCTATCCTAAATTTATTAATGATTAAATTCATTTACTTTGCTAATTCATATTCTGTTGCTACAGCTTTTATGATAGGTGGTTGTGGGTGTTTGGTAGAAAACCCTGCCTGACCTACGTTATATCTTAATTGCCACTCATCACTAAGGAGTACCAGCAATCTTAAGGGGACTGATACTACCAGTGGTATGCAAAACTATTAAATATATTAGTAATAGAATTTCATTAGTCACTAATGTAGATACGTTTTAGGGATTTACAATTAATTGATCGCTGGATGGTGATGTATGTCGGGTCCTTTTTAATGCAGATCGAATTCTCGGTCCTACAGGAGGTCAGTCGCGGCTCGGATAGCTCAGTGGTAACGTCTCTGACTGTGAAGCTGAATGTCACTGGATCGAGTCCTTCAGGGAGCATCAGTACTCTCAAGATTTCACGAATACCTTGCTGATGAGTGTAAAGTAGCACGAAACCTAGGTTCAGGGTTTCCTGTTGACTACCTCCAACCACCATCCTAAGTTTTGGAAATGTTAGAAAGTTTAACAAATGAAACATAACGCATTGCATTATAGTAATGAAAAGATAGAAAAATACAGTATAATAGTGATAGTTTATCATTAAAGTTATTTAGTGTTTATTGGTTGCATTAATTCATATGAAAAATATGTGACAATTTCCTGCGGAATGTAGTTTGCTAATCGTAAAATTGATTTCGGTATTATGGATAAAGTACCTGACTATGCTGACTACAAAATATTCTATTCAATATTTGAAAATCCCAAACAGATCAACACTTTATGGTTGAACATTAACCGCTAAGGTGAAAGTCATTCAGTTGTGAATGAAAAATATTGGAATACTCAAACGAATAAAAAGGAAATCATAAACCGCATACAACCTAATAGCTGACTATAAAGTCTGTTCTTAAATTTCTCGTCACAATTTATGATTATTGAAGTCCAACCATGTTGTTAATAGCGAACGATAGTTAGACTGTAAATCGAATTGTTGAATATTGTTGATATCATGAACCAATATAATTTCAGCATCAACCGAAAACAAGGTGGTAGAGCACAGCTGTCTTGTCATATTGTGGGACTCCTTAAAAAGTGAATCCATAACCTCATCAAAAAGGACAAAACTCAAGGGTTTCGGTTTAGCGAAGAGGTTCAATATTGAGGCCTTTATAATAGTGTACATGCCGAACTTTAACGAGTTCACAATACTTTCAGACCACCTGCAATTGTTTTCTGTGTCTAACTACCCATACCTGACAAGTTTTAACCCCACTACTCATAGTTTCTGATTAAGATTCCAGGAGTATGTATTTTTCTTAAAACAAATGAATATATTGAGATGTATTCTTAGTGTTATATCTTGAAGGTTGTACTTGATATACCGCGTATAACGTAAGCACTAGAACGCCAGAACCCTTCCAAGTCGCAATGAGAAGACAGAAGACTAATGAAAGCAATATTATTCACAGACAGTGTCAATTATAGTACAAAATTGTTCAGTATTTATAATTTTTAGTAAGAACGAAATCATCATTACAGTCCTTCAATCCGCGTACAGGGGGTTATTGGCATCGTCCAATCAGGAAGCTACATGTAGGAATTTTAGAATATTCTTCCAAAAGGTGATTGGATGAAATATCTTTGGCTCCTTCTGAGCCTCCTACAGCTTCCTCGAGTTCACCCGTGGTCCGTCGTCACGCTTAGTAATAACGATCTATTGAATTACAAAATTATCATAGTTGTTATGACGAAAAATAGTGTTTTCTACTTGATTACTAAGTGCGAACACTAAGACTGCAATGCAATTACAGCGAGCTGAAAAATTCAACACCGAATGAAGTTACTGTCCTTAATCTCACTAACTCACTACTAACTACAATCTATATATTTCATAAAACGTGTAACAAAATAATTATATCGAAGCAATCTACACAGGATACACTTCTGCCAGTAAAAAATGGTGAAACTTCTGTGCTGAATGTTAACACTGCAATTATTCAATCGCTTACTAACAATAATCTAAACATCATATCCAATGAAGAATTTAGTAGTTATTTGAACTAAATAGTTCAGTGTATGTTTTGCCATTAAAACTAAAAAGTACCAGATTTAAGTCTCATTGTGAACATTAACGCTGATATTTACATTCCTCTACACGACATAAGTTATCAATAGGATGAGTGCTAGGTCAATCAGCAATCAATAAGCACATTGAAATAGATCCAATTTATCAACCAATCAGGGAAATTATACACAAATATAGGAGCAAAAACCAAACCAATGGGAGACACAACCAAAACAAAGGAGTAAACAATCACAAATTTAAGGTCAGTAAGAACTAACTTAACGTCGTGGTGTACAGAACAAGCTGTGAAACGCATATGGAAAAATTCGAACACTTCACTTCTATTTAAAGTTTGTCGTTCAGAAGAACGATGAAAGCTCGACGATCAAACCATCCAGCTCAGAGAATAAAACTCCATCAAAATCATCTACATGATCTACAAATCTTCTCCACCATAAATCCATCTATTCTATAAAAAGTACTTTATATAACTTTTTAATTGCATTCTTTTTTTTTTGAATAACTTACTTGTTCACATTTTGTTTGTAATTCTGGTTTATTTGAATCCAATTGATGATGATTCATATTTGGCCAAGTATTATTATTGTTACTATCGGGAATACTTATTATTGGATAATCATCTGATAATTTACTTTCATTCAAGAATAGTATATTATTTAAATCAACCGGTAAGATGTAATTAGTATTCGTGTTATTATTACTGTTTTGTTCAAATTGTAAAGATTTAATAGAATTCACATCTAATTGTAGTTCATTACATCGAATTGAAATAGATGATGACGACGATGACGATGATGATGATGATGATGACGACGACGAAGAAGAAGAAGAAGAAGAAGAAGAACAGGACAAGGGAACAGAAGAAGTTGGTAACAATGGAGACAGTTCATTTGACAATGAATTCATTGTAGTTTTTAATGATAAATCAAATGATAATTTATCATGACTATTTATTGTAATACATTCTAATGATTGATTGATTGAATTATGATTATGATTATTATTGTTATTTGAATAAGTTGATAATAAAGATTCATTTTGTTGTGTAGTGATTATTGGTATTGTGAATTGTTCATCTATTGATGAAGTACTCCATAATGATGTAACATTTGAATATTTACATATTTCGGATAAACTATTTGATATATTCGATATATTAGGTATAATTGATGTATCCGGTGAAAACATTAAGTTAGATGTTATACATGGTGAAACAATTGAATGATCATTCATAAAATTGCACATTAAATTATTTTTAGATAAATTATTATGTAATATTGTTGCCGAGGTTAACGATGTTGTTGTTGTCGTCATTGGTGGTGGTGTTATTGTTGTTGTTGTTGGTGGTGGTGGTGGTGGTGTTAGTGTAAAAGGTAATGGTGATAGAATTTTCGAAGGTGGTTTTAATTGATTTGTATTTTCTTGTTGTTCAATGAATTGAGTAGAATCAGTTAATAGAATGAGGTCATCTAGTTTGGGTTTTTTTAAATGAGAGTAAAACAATTATTCAATGAAATTTACTTTATTAATATATTTAATAAAATATGAAATAATAAAAATTGATTTCATTCAAGATGTACAATAATTCGTCATGGCAGTCATAAACACTAATTTGATAACCGTATTCTTCTTTCAGCCTTTTTCTGGTCAAGAAAACATAGACCATCTAGTTAAACAATTTCTACGCAGACAATATAAAGAATTGTACCACTATTCTGTTTTCAAAAAGATGATGATAGTTTATATCACTAATTGATTTTTCTATGAAATAATTATTAAGGGTTAAGCATTCGCGTACAAGACCGATGGTTCTAGGTTTGAATCCCGCGGGCAGGATTATGGATGCGCACTATTGAGGAGTTATATATTAGAACGAAACGGCCGTCTGCTGCTTCCAGATTTTTCATGGTGGTCGAGATTTAATCGACCCACGAATTCAACTATTCAATTATTAAAAAGCCATAAATTCTGGTTTCTGGGAATTTATTTCTTTTCTCTACACATATAATTAAGACATTATATCAAATAAGAAATTATTGATTAACAAAAAAGCATTACATAATGAGGTGGTGGAGAAGATTTGTAGCTTAGGTGGATGATTTTGATGGAGTTTTGTTTTCTGAACGAACCATCCAGCTCAAAGAATTGCACCAAAAGACAAGCTTTCGCTCGAGAACAACTATATTTTCTCTATAAGTGACTTCGTTAGTATGTTCACCCAACAAGTGGAAGATACGATCCCCAATCAACTTCTCATTGGGATGGAGAATAGTACGACCAAACCAACCACCTCAGAGAACAAAACCCCATCTAAACCATTAACTAATATTGGTCAGCTTTAATTGAAGATTTTATTCCAATATATATCTACCAGATATCAAAGAGTCACGTTTAGAAGACTAAGAAAAACACAAGTCCTTGCGTTTAACTTAAGGTCACTCTTATGTCTTAATATAAAGGAAAATAAGATTCGAAAATCACTAGCCAAGATTTATCTCTTGACAAATATAATAACTGTTCCGATATTGAACATTTAAACCCGAATGTTTGTGTCTAATTCTCATGGTCAACTTTCTAGCTGATATCACAGTATTAAAAATAAGGCTCTTATATGAATCACTTTTAGAATAAATCCATCTGACTACTGTAGTATTTCGATGAGTTGACGAGTAATATGTACACTTTGAACACCAACATCTTGAGTGCATTCTAGTCTTAGATATATGTCTATTCTGGAACTCTAAACGTAAAGATGGCTAGAAATAAACTGAAGAACTTATGTTTGGATGCACTAAAAATATCTGCATTTGTACAATAATAAACAACATTGTAATTCATAAATCGTTATGAAAAGAGGCTGCATTGAGTGATTGTTGAATGAGAATAGACAAGGAATAAGCAACCATTGTTTAGATTTTTACTGGACATTTACAAAGAACACTGATGATTACACTAAGATTTTCTATAGCTGTCATAGGAACAAATCATTTAAAGTAATTTGTTGTATTCTGACCCTCCTATCGCAAACGTAACAACAAATGCAGGAAAAGACGAACAGTGTGGCAGCAGCCTAAGCAGCAGCAGATCTCAATATAAACAAAGGGAAAAGCAAGATTCTCCGATACAACACAGCATGCACCAATCCAATCGCAATTGATGGAGAAGATTTGGAAGATGTAAAAACCTTCACGTATCTGGGCGGCATTATTGATGGACATAGTGGATCTGATGTAGATGTGAAGGCGCAGATCGGTAAAGCAAGAGCAGTATATTTACAACTGAACAACATCTGGAACTCAAAACAAATGTCTACCCAGTTCAACTATATGGGGCGGAAACCTGGAGAACTACGAAAGCTATCATCCAGAAAATACAGGTGTTTATTAACAGTTATCTATGCAAAATACTTTGGATCCGTTGGCCATGCACTATCATCAACAACGTATTGTGGGAGAGAACGAACCAGATCCCAGTAAAGGAAGAAATCAGGGAGACTTGCTGGAAGTGTATAGGACACACACTGAGCAAAGCACCGAATTGCTTCACAACGCAAGCCCTAACATGGAATCCTCAAGGCCAAAGGAGGAGGAGAAGAGGAAGACCAATGAACACATTACGTCGAGAAATGAAGACAGACATGAGAAAAATGAACAAGAATTGAATGGAACTAGAAAAGAAGGCCCAGGACAGATTGGGTTGGAGAATGGTGGTCGGCGGCCTATGCTCCATTGAGAGTAACAGGGGTAAGTAAGTAATTTGTTGTATACCTAATACTTTTCATCATGAGGCTCAATCTCGTCTCTTTACATATAGAAAAAACTATAAGGGTTCAGGGTAACGACCTAAGTATTTGAATCCGTACTATATTTACAATGCTTATTACTTCCTTGACTGAATTAGGCTTAGTGAATGGTTTTACTTACTTATTAGTCTTCATACATTTTGTTCGTTTATTTTTATTCCCCTCTTTGCAAAATCCATTCTTCATTGTCTAATTATCAGAGCACTTCTTAATACTTAATTTTATTGAGTTTTTTTTAATGAATGTTAATTCAGTGTCAATTTGTCTGGGTCACTCATCAAATTCCTATTACGAAGCATTGATTGTGTAATGTTTATGTAATCTGTTTCACTATAAACACTAAGTCTTAAATGCCTTTATTAGAATAGTGTATTTCATACATAGACATACCTACTACTTTATATTAGAGCATCTATTAGAGGATCTAATTGAACACTAATGAGTCCATAGTTTTCACTTGATTCTCAAAGAATTTTCCGCGGTGTTATCAAGGAATCTCAGAATAATAAAAACCACTGAAAACAATCATACTAATCTTATATTCTATTATTTATAAACAAAGTTATTATCATTTTTTTTAAAAATCTACTAACCTAAGTGATCGATATCATTCAAAGTGCTGAAGTCCACATTTTGGTGATGATGATGATGATGTTGTTGATGTTCTGTGTAAAGTAAATTCGATGAAAGTTGCTTATCATCATTATTATTATTAATTCTTGTGTTTGCTATCGTTGTTTTATTTGTAGTTGTAACAGTATTGCTAGAAGTTACTTTTACCATCGCTACTGTCGCTTCTGTCAACGTCGTCGTAGATGGTATAATAAGAGACGATGATGATAATAATGGTGATGACGTAATACAGTTGACATTGTTTGTACTAGTTTCATTATTGTCACCATTTTCCGATGATGTATTCCAGTCAGTTAAATTGATATCACCGTATTTATTATTTTGACATGAATTTGGAATGATTAAACTATTGAAATGAAAAACTGTATCAGCTGGAAAATAATTAGTTGCTATGGTAGTTGTTATTCTAGGACTTTTCCTATCATTTGTACTACTATTAGTAATGTTATCAGTAATTATTCCAGTGGCTACTGAATTTATAATTAAGTCTTTATCAAGATTATTTGACGTATGTGAATAATGGACATTATTTAAAATATTTGATGTATTCAATGATGGACTTGATGTTACGCACATAATATAATCATTTAATCGGTCATCATTAGTCACTTCTTCTACATATTGTTGACGCTGTTGATGTTGAAGGGAACGTGGCGAAATAGAAGTTGAATCATGATGATGATGATGATGATGATGATAATGATGCTGCTGATGAGGATTAAGGATAGAAGGATATGAAGGATCTGGGAGGATTTCTACCGAATCATTTGAGTTCATGTTGAATCTTTTCAAATTAATCGATTTTTCCATACAGTTTATATTGTTTTCTTTATTGTTATTATTATTATTATTACGATTACTATTATTATTATTGTTGATATCTATAGGTTGATGTTCAGTTAGATGAGGCTTCAATTCTTTCGTTTTATTTTTAGAAAATTTATCAGAATTTAAACGGTATTTTATGCGATGATTAGAATTAATAATTGTACTATTAACATTACTGTTATTATTATTATCATTGTCATTATTATTGTGAAACGTAGTACTATTAATATTTGTTGACCATTGTAATGCTTCAGAAGATTGTAAATGTTGTTCATGAACAATAGCTGCACGTGGAACTTTATCCAACCATCGTGGTTTACTTCCATCTTCTAAATAAATATAATTAAACCAATGACAAATTCGTGAGCAAAATAATAATAATAAAGAATATATTTTTGTTATATTCCAATGATTAGAAAAATTGTATTTCTGAAGACGTTTCGTAACTTAATGTAAAGCATTTCTTCAGAGTAAATAAGTAACCGAATAGTACAAAGAAAACAATGCGGAATATTTTGGGTGCAATCAAAATCATAATTATTCTGACCTATTATGATTTTGATTGTACTAAAAATATTCCGCATTGTTTCCTTTGTACGATTTAAACTTGGGTTAATTTAGTGTCGAATATTTATTTACTCTGAAGAAGTGATTCATATTAAGCTACGAAACGTCTTCAGAAATACAATTTTTCTGCTCATTGGGATGTAACCAAAATATATATTCATTATCAACTTTCTAATTAATGCTCAATTAATTTGAAGCTATCAAGTCCAACCTTGGCATGGATACTAATAGTAAAAATAATAAAAATATTAATACAGTTGGTAAGACTATAATTTGTGGACGACCTTTCAGTGACGCTAAACTGACCTTGAGAGTGTCCACCTAAAGACTATGGTCCAATGAGGGTGTGAAAAATGAGAATTATTATTTACAGCTGATGATAAAGGTTAGGAATTAGACTTAGTGTTTTCATCATGAATTGACATCAGTTCTAATGCCAGAACTCTATTTGTCCAAATGAATGAGTGAATTTCGCGCCAAATCCGAGATCTGTCATTTTATATCTGATTGATTCGTTCATAAATTATAGTCTCGCCGAATATAATCAAACCAAAGATCTACACCAGAACAGAGTTCAATGGAGAATGCTGGTAGGTAGCCTATGCTCTTCCACAATGGGTAACAAGTGTAAGTAAGTAAAAAATCTACAAATCACGCAAAATATTTCACAACATTTAATCAATGAATTAGGAATTAATTATCTGCTGTGAATAAAGAATTTAAACAATCTTCTGTATCATCAGTGGATCTAAATTGAAATTTCTTCGTATGATCATATCTTGAAGTTGTAGTCTTCGACAAAATAAAAATAGTTTCATTCTAATTTGCTGATAAACTATAATGTTCACTTTACTTTCAGTTTGTGACTATATTAAAAGAGACTAAACTTTTGTCATAATATATATTGACCTTTTAGATATTCAAGTAACTTTTCAGTGGTAATATGGAACAGATCTTTACAATGTAATGAAGTCTAATAGTTTGAATGTTGAACATAAATAAGTAATTACGCTACTATTTTTCATGGAGTTTTGTTCTCTGAGCTAAATGATTTGATCGTGACGACCAAATGGAAGAATCTCTCCAAAAGGCAGGCTTCCACTCGAGAACAACTGTATTTTTTCTACTATTGCCTTTGTCAGCATTTTCTACCAACAAGTGTAAGATACAGACCTCCAATCAACTGCCCATTGGGATGGAGAATAGCTGGGCAAAGTGGAAGAAAAATGGTACAGCTAAAGATAACGGATGCACATTACAGGATCCGCAAATACCAACACGTCATAGAAGACCAAAATAATGAAGCTACAAAGGACGCTCACGTCAGAACATTTGGAAATCTTGACAACAGCCATCGAAATATCATACAAACGACACAAAGAACAAACAAAAGAAACACGACCAAACCATCTAGCTCAGAGAACAAAACTTCATTAAAAATTACACTACTAGTTTTCTACTTGCAAAGTGCTTATTAACCGTTACTACAATTTAATTTCATTAATTTATTACATAATTTATTTGATCTCTTTGCTCAAAATATTTAGTTTACTTTGTTCACTGTCAGAAACATTCGACTTCACAAAAACCGGTAGCTTAATAAATCACATTATCATTATTTACATAGCATTCTTAATAAATTGATTTCATTTGAGGTACTATTGAAAATCAAGAACAACTGGGCAGTTTTTCTGTCTCAGTATGGAATTCTGTAACGCTTCTCATTCAAAACTACGCTTGAGATCGAATTTACAACCTCTTCAGCTCAGATGAAGACCTTAACATTTAAATCAATAAGTTGACATCAAATGATTTACATTTGAAACTGCAGTCGATTCACTATGTTAAGCGACTATGCTCTGTGGCTACTGCTGATTCTTATCTCGTGGAATGTTTAAATTTCACCAATTCAAACATACTAGAACTTGTTGAATTATCTTTTGAATTAAGTTGTTATTAAGCTAATGACGATCTTGCATTGTAGAAGGCTATGAACATTGAATCTTCAGAAATATAAATCAACAAAATGCTATGAACCATACAGATCATGTAAGAATAAACTGTGACTGTATTTAGAAATTTAAACCCTAATAGTTGGACCATTGTCTAAAAGTGTGGCCTACTTATTTAAATCTTAATGTTTCAATGGATGTGAATGAAATAATCGTGTTAATAAAAGTATATCAGTTTAAGAGTTTTTAAGGTTGAATAGTTTTAAATGTTTCACTTTACTTACTTTTACGAACTTGTATAAGGTCAGGTCTCATACCAACTCGAAAACATTGTTTTAATCTACACGATGGACATTCACGACGAGTAGTTGGTGTGATTACATGTTCTCCGGATTTTGCTGTACATGTTAATTCCTAAAAAATACAAAATAAATGATTTCTCACTTGAATTGACATAATTAGAATTATCAACAGGGGTTTTGTGGAGATTTTAGTAATTTCAATAGTTGAAATCATAAGTCAGTTGAAGCTAGACCACCATGAATCACGTGGAAGCACTGAATGACCGTTTCGTCCTAGTACGGGACTCCTCAGCAGTGCGTATCCATGATCCCGCCCTACACGAGATTCGAACCCGGGACCTATCAGTCTCGCTCGCGAGCTCTTAATCACTAGACCACTGAGCTGGTTCGAATCTCGCGAGGCAGGGTTGTGGATGCGCACTGATGAGTAGTCTTATACTAGGACTAGACGGCCATCCATGGTCCAACCATCTCAGTTGATGAAGATTTACAACCTCATCAAGTGATTTATCATCATTCTCTAATACCTTGAGTCTAATCTTACTATTACTTACCCGGTGATCACAGCGGATGCGAGCAATATAATAATAATACAATAATTATAATTACATTTGAATAATTTTAAAACCAAACACTTAATTATACATTGTATTCAGTGTATAAGTGATATGTAATCAATCAGTTAACTTAATTTGTTATATCACAATTGATTGATCACTGGGTGATGATCAATGTCATGTGTCTCAAGTTCGTATTTATTGCAGATCGAATGCTATCGACCATGTTGCAATGTGGCCACCAGTCTAGGTGACTCAACACTGCGTGCACTATATATTGAGATTAGATGGTGGTTGTAGGTAGACGAGGGAGCACCAGCTCCCTCGAGAAAACAGGTACACCTTGCTGGAGAGTGCCAAGTAGCACGAAACCCGGGTCCAGGGCTTCCCATTGACTACCTCCAACCACCATCTAAGAAAGAGTTATCTTTGTGTATTTTTATGTTGTATAGTGTTTTCTTCATAAAAGGTACCAATTACTTCACATGAACAAACTATAACTGTAAACAAAGCTAAACAATGCTAAAGTGACTAAGAATTAATTTAGATTATTAAATGGTATATTAAATTAGAGAAATTATTATAATTCAGTGTACTAAACATTTTTAAAAAGTGCTCAACCACAACTGTAACTTTAAGCATATGAATTTGGTCATGACTAAACTATTCAGTTCAGAGAACAGAACTGAGTCAAACTCATCGGTGAGACTATAATATATGGACGACCTTTCAGTGACGCTAAACTGACCGTGAAAGTGTCCACCTAATAACTAAGACCAACTGAGGATTATAAACGTTTGTGAGGAATTAGAATTATGATTTACCGTTGATGATTAAGAATTAGATTTAAGGTTTTCATCACGAAATGTCATCAGCTATAATGCCAAAATTTTATTTAACCAAATGGATGAATGAATTTCGCGCCAAAATCCGAGTCCTTTTATCTTATATCTGATTGATTCGTTCATAAATTATAATCTCTTCAAATCATCCACCTGAGCTACAACTCTTCTCCATCATCTCAATATGAATTTCTGATAGATTATACAAAAGTTAATATGTAATTCATTTGGCTTTTAATCTATTTGCTATTGGATTTTGTAAGTTTTAAGGTGGTATCACTTGATGTGTTAACTAACACTATACTTAAATACCTTTACAGTTTATTCACTAAGCTAGATGACATCATTTATTGAATGTTATTATCGTTGAAGGCAGTTTGGTGAAAGACCTTAGATAAAGTTTCATACTGGTTGAAACTTATATATAATGCTTATTCATTAATTTTGGCTGGACTAATACTCATTGTGGGACTCAAACTGGCATCAATCAGTGTTTAATATCTTCGTAAAGTTTTCGTATAAATTAAGATTAATTTGACTCATAAAATGATTTTACATTTCCTACTGTAAAGAATTTATGATATAACATGATGATAACTTATTACAATCAGTGATATTGTTCTCATATCCAACAGAGTTGAAACTGATTAATTACAGTTGTTCACTAGAACTTCAGGTGTATAACCAATGTTAACGAAAAGCGTGCTGGGAGGAATCATCTGCTCATTGTTAATTAATTTCAATATGATGTGAACAGGGAAACAAGAAGCCCTGACAAACTACGAAAGCTGTTTTTCAGGACGTTATTCCATTTTATTCAAAGCTTGTAAAACACTGACATTTACTTTTGTCCCTAATCTATTCCACAGAACATAAGTTTCTTTCAGTCTATGATTCATTGCCATACCCTCTTTTGTTCCGAAGCTATTGTAATTTAAACATAATATTTTGCACCCTATTTTCCACACTAATTCCCAGCTTTTGACATAATTGTATTTTTCCTAATTATCGTACGTTGTGGTCAGGTTATTCACTTATTCATTCATGTACCTTTTTATACTGAACTGAAATCAGGATATCGGGAATAGATTGAGTAGTGTTCCAGTTGTCTTGTCTTCTCTCATTCGCGTGCTTGTCAACCAATCGGGTGATAGAATAGTTTTCTTCTCTCTACCCCACTTCGAACGCACGCGTACTAGCCTCAAGGTTAGGTGGCTCAGCCTATCGCACCGAGGTCTTAATCTGGATTAGATAAGTATCCACAGCACCGAAAGTGGGTAGACAGATCTAGGTCATAACACATTAGTTATCTGACTAAAACCATCTTCACTATTTTTCTACTCTGATTACGTCACTAAGGTTTACCAGTACAATGTAAACATATTGTTGTACTCATGATTCAACTGTATTTTTCTTTAAAAAAAGGTATTCGGTTTATTCACAAAACAAGATGGTTAATGAATATAAACAATTTTATGAAGAAATCTTTGTTTTCAATTGCTCTTATTGTTTAAAATATCAATGCAAACCAGTTGTGTGTGTCTTTGTCATCCTAATAAACATCCATTCGAAGGCTAAAAGTAACTTAAGAGCCAAACTAGGTAGGGAATTTTATTAAGTGATATATACGTGATAAGTACTAGTTAACAAACAATAGACTTGAAAGTTCGACATTTCCGAGCACTACTATTTACATACATCAGTGCTTCAATTACTATGATACTATAGACACAAGGGTAAGTAATAAGCATCAATTCACTTAAGATAAGAGATACATCAAGCAAACATGTACCAACTAGTAAGAAGCCTGGATCCTCTTCATTCATGAACTAATCATAATCAATTATTATGAATGGTATTCACTCTGATATTGTAAATGGTTGTGAAATGTTATTATATGCATTACCCTTATCCTATTGAACTAATAAATAGTGATATTTCAATATACATCTTCTACATAACCAAGTATTTAAACTCTTTATGATAATCATAGTAGTATATCATATATACCATGACGATAATGTCCAAGAATTAATTTCAGTCGTCTTGTTGTTACATGAAATCGATAATAATAATAATAATAATAGTGGTAATGATAATAATAAAATGATAAGACGTTGGTCACTTAAAACCAGGTGGATACATAGTTATCTGTATCAAACAGATTCACTTTAGCTTGATAAATCAATTCACATATACAAAGAATATGAGAGACAAAGAGTAAAGTAAACTTAAACTGAACACTATCATAAATAAAACTTATTTTATTACCAAATTCAACTAGATAAATAAAAGCAATTATATTCATCTTATCATAAAGGTTTTTATTATGGTATGTATATATGTATATCTACCTGTGCATATCAATAGAATGAACAAGCATGATAGAAATAAGGTAAAATGATGACAGTTATCATAAGTAATCAATTGACGACTACATAGCCTGATAATGATCTATATATACATACAGTCAACGTAATAAGACTTTATTCCAGATTGAATGCTGAATAAAATCATAGTTTTCTTCTTGTTTATTAGTTTGGCGCCAATTCACTAAGATGTTAACACTCGATTATTCTATATATTAAACAAAAACAAATACTTTCAGTGACGAAATCTCAAATGGTTAATTATACAATTCACCTATTTGTTGAATAATAAAACGATAGCTTCATATGATTAGTCTATGATAAGTGATATTTCTTATTGTTCAGGGTTTTTTATATGATTATTCAGCAACAAATTCATTGGATTGTATTCTTTTCCATTTAAGCTATGAATTCTCTCATTTGGATAACATTAAATATACATAAAATAAGGAATATTTAAATGAGCAGTTATATTCGACTACTTCATTATCATGGTCTACCGTTGCTAAACTATGATTCCTGTGTGAAGCGAATGGTACTGGGTTCGAGTCACAACTATGGTATGAGGATGCATCAAGCTGACGAATTTTTACTTTGGTTACTGTTTAAAGATGTCCGTAATATTTTTATTGTGGAGTTTCGTTCTCTGAGCTGAATAGTTTGGTCGTGAAATTCTCAATGTTCTTCCGAACAACATCATCAGCACAAACTTTAAGTAGAAATCAAGTATTCAACTTTCTCCACATATGACTCATAGGTTGTCCTATTGAATTCGATTTTGATTGGTTTGTGTTAACCTTTGCTCTGTCATTATCTGCCTTTTTATTTAGATCTGATTCTCGGTAGGTATACATGAAAAAAGTCGAATACTTTGCTTCTACCTGAAATTTTTGTTGATGATGTTGTTCAAAAGAACAACGACAATTCAACGACCAAACGATTAACTCACAGAATGAATTTCCATCAAAAACATCTACTCAAATTAGGACTTTCCTCCACCATCTCAACGCTCGTAAGAATTTTTTTCATTTTGAAGTTTATGTAAAAAAGAAATGGAAAACGCCTTAGTAACGTATCGAGTCGCGGTTAATCTAGTATAATAAATCATATGAATACAAGGCATAATAGAAGGGATATTACGTCATGTTATGTGATAATAATAAAGTTGTTTGAATATATTATTTAATATAATAAACATTACCAGTGTAATTATAATCAGAAAAACACATGCGTATTGATGTAGATGACTATGTAGATGAAGTATCTAACAGTACGGGGATGAGAGGGTAATAAGTTAGAATATGTGGTTTGTATATGGAGTGATGCAAACGTGGGCAATGTTAA